TACTACTGCTACTACTGCTACTCCTGTCTCTCTCAAGTCGCGAACGTCCGGAGGCGTCCTGGCGTAGCCCCTTCGGGCAGCCTTTGGCGGGCTATCCTAAGACAGCTATTGAAAAAGCAAGTATGTAAAAGGCCTGTGGAAGCACAAGCATTAACAGGTAGCGAAGGCAGTGCCCGGGCCGTAGCTCCAACAAGCAGCGTAATGCCACATGTGACTGTACAAGCACGAAGCACGTATCACAAGGCCGCCTTCATTCAGATGGTTATTCGAGACTTCGTCATCTGTTGAACCCACACTCAGATGGTCAGGACTCTGCGTTCAGAATGCTTTCCAAAAGACGCTTTCTGAGAGACCGTCATAGTCGCATCTCGATGTCGAGACGGCTGGTGATCACCGTATCACAAATGCATCCGACTCATCTGCGCACCGAGCTTGGTTGGAGCCGATCAGCTGCCATGGATCCGTTGTAAGCAATGCTTTCTCGCCAGCTGGCCCAACATGATCCATAGCTGCATGTCGCAAGCAATGACGTGCGCATACAGCAGGATGCCCAGCTATCAAGAATTGCTCCCAAGCCGGTTGGGGGGCTTACGGTAAGCACCTCACAGAACAGTCGCTCGAAATGAGAAGCCATGATATGTGCAAGTGTCCACGTCCTCTCCATCGGGTGCGAGCGCCCATGTCGCACATTTCATGTGACAACTTCAAGCTTTTTGTACAGCATGAGTTCCAGCGGTCAAGGTGCTGAATAGAACACGGCTTTTGCGTAGTCAGACTCGCCATCGAGTATGAGTAATGCAGAACCGCCCTGGGGGGCCAAGCATTCTGAAATTTCCCCGCCTCCACATACAAACTGTTTGTGACAGCGCTCTGGAGCCTAAAACAAGAGCGTCCCTGGGTCACTGCTACGACTACTACGACTACCAGACTACTACTTCTACTACTACTACTCCTGCTGCTGCTGCTGCTGCTGCTGCTACTACTACTACTACTACTACTGCTACTACTACAGTACTACTACTACTACTACTACTACTACTACTACTACTACCTCTACTACTACTACTACATCTATCTACCTATACCTCTACTTGCTACAACTAGTCTTGCTACGTTTGTCACCAGGTCAACAAAGCCGAGTGAAGCCCGACAAGAAGCAGCGTGAAGCTGTAAGATCGATGGGAACCTGGGATGCAAGAAGCTTTAGAAAAGGTAAGTTGTGCCGTGGCCATTGCAGTACAAACGCCGCCATGCTTGCCATGCGACCATCTTGTGATTTGAGGTGAGCACGAGCTTCTCGATTTGCTTCTCACGCAGCTCTCACTGCGTGCAAAAGAAGCCAACCACTTTGAGACACTCTTCCCGATCTTGCAGTTGATCCACCAGCGGCTGCTGGTTTCAACACCGGACTCGGGCAGTCCCCGCCTGGCGGGCGCCATGCAACGAAATATGGAGAAGATAATGTCCAAGATGAGATGCAGCAAGTTGATCAGCTTCGTGCAAACGAACCCCAGCGTGGATTCCGATTTTATGCGTCAGCTGGAAGATGGCTTGAACGGCTCGAAGCCTGTCATCAACACTGCGACCTCATTGTGGCTTTGATAGGCGCCGCGCACTACACATGCTAGCATGTCATCAGCGGAGTCAAGATGACGACGTGATGACTCCTGAAGGCGGGTCTGGCAAACCTGGGACCAACAGTGCCATGAGCTGGTTTGAAGTTTGCTTGATCCCAGCTTTTGGGACGCGGATGGAAACGTGATGTGGTGGGATGTGCCGAAACAAGTCTTTCACAAGATGAACAAGTCACGAGTTCCTGAAGGGAACGCTTGCAGCTCATTGCAGCTCCGTGCTTGGCCCGTAGCAGAACCGAGGCTTTCTGGCTTTGGTGTTGCACCCAGAGAATCAGGCCCCAAAGTAGAGTTGTCGTGTCGTATGACTTGGAGAAATCTCCAGTACCCAGTACCCGGGGCTCAGCATCTCAAAAGCCTAGACCGACTCGCCTTCCAACCAGCCTGATTCTCAACAAGTGCGGAGTGCCGAGATTGTCATTGTCTTGTCCCGCTCCCCAGACTCGAAGCCCTCCCAAATCTTAATCCTCAGCCTCGATGATTTCCCAGACGTGGACAAGAGCCGGTCCGACAGCCAGAAACAAAAACTCCGAACCCAGGGCTGCAGAGCGGCCAGGCTTCTCAATTTTCTTCGAAGCTGTTCCCGGAACGGCTCAGATGGGAATCTCTCAAACTTACGCTATGGAGTGTGAGCCGAAGGGTTCTGGATTTGTGGTGGAGGATATAGCGTGTTTGTTTCCTTACAGCTGGTTCAATGTACTTCGAGAAATTCCCAAGTCGGACAAATATATCTTGAACTGGGTGGCCCGAGAGGATGTGTGCAGACGATGGTGCTGAGGATTCAGAGTTGGGGGGTAGATTCGAGTTGATCTATGATTTTAGCTTTGATCCCTCAGGCCCCTCAACGTGCAGATGCAGTCGTGCGGTCAGTGCTGGCCTGTAGCACGGAGTCCAAGGTTAATTCAAGATTGATGTAAAAACCAAGAGGTGCGAGTGAGAAAATGAGGCCGTATGCTGTCTTTCGCTCGTGGACCGTTGCCTGCATCAGCATGCCGGCCAGCTGTTCCAACCATCCCCCGAACCCCAAATCTACAGCTTGACCCACACGCCATCTCCTGAAGAAAACCAAGGCTGGGGAAGACAACGAGCTGCTTCTCTGAGGGCATCGCTTGTGCGTGACGCGCAGTCACCAGCATCCCCTGGCCAGGTCTTACAAGTGCTGTGTGGCTATTACATGCTTAGGGCTTAGGGTAGGGAAGCGTCACCTTTGTACAATGTGGTTGGTCAGGTCTGCGGCCATTTTCACGTCCAGAGAAGGCAGCACCTGAGCTTCAGGGCTTGCTGAAAAAGATACTTGCCCCTTTTCCCGCTATCTGTGATTCGAGCTTCCTGAAGCACATAGTAGCCCAGTAGGATCTTGCGTCTATGAGGTGGACAGGTGGTGAATTGACCGTACTGCGGGTCTCCCACTGACTGTTTGCGCATGCATTCACGTTCAACCTCGCAGCTTCCACGGTCACGAAGAGCATCAGTCATGAAAATTCAGAACAGAAGCTAAGATATTGCTGCCAAGTAGCAGAGTAGCAGAGAACCGGGACAGCTTGATGCACGTAGCCTTCCGGCATGGATGCTGACGCAAAGAGCTCGGCAGCTCCAATCCCGACGCCACCGCCACCTCCACCTCCGCCGCCTCCTTCCTCTCCTCCGCCTTTGGGCGAAGAAAGCAGCTGTGTAGACAGCGACGGTCAGACGGGCCCGAACTTGCCGTATCCATCATCGCAATTGTCCACGAGCCGGACGGCTAATAGTGCGACCCTCCATAGCATGCGGCAAATCTCCTGCCTTCGTATGTCAAAGGACTGGTGGAGTATCCCGATCATGAGTCACTAGTCGATGAGACGTTCTTCCTAGGCCGCCAGCGCCGCCTGCTGTGCCATTCAATGTTCGCCGCGGGTGTCTTTGCTGCACACTCTAAGCCCAAGCCGAGACTTCTCAGAGATTCCTTTCTTCCCACGCGTCTCGTGTACCCTTGCCCTTCGCTGCAGGCAAGCCATCTTCAAGAAGCACTGCCCGGCACCCACATCTCATCTTCCGGTGGCATTTAGCAGCGTTGCATCTGCGGAGAAGCATGTTGCTCCAACTTCTGCATGGCCCCTTCCTTTGAGGTGGACAGTGCCATACCTTCAAGGTAGAGGGTCGGGATCCGAGCGTGACAGGCTCTGGTCATGCGTCTTCAAGGGTGAGTGTGGAAGTCGGAATGCACTGATGCAAAGCCGTAGATGCAGCAACAGAGCTCAAGATCTGTCGGGAAGCATACTGAGTCAATGAGGTAACAGCATACACAATCGGAAGCTCACTCTACACAGTCACTTCTCCGTTGCTGGAAGTAACAAGTAGACTCTGCGGCAGGTCCTTAGAATCCTCAGCTGGAGTTGAATTGAAGTCGGTACTGCCGCGGGGTATGCACGAGGCGCTTTGACACAGCTCGAAGCTCCATGTCGCGAGGGACGAGGGACGGGCAAAGGCACCTGCATCTTCTCCGCCGGAATGCAGGAGCTGCGTTAGGTGAGGTACCGTCCCTTTCCGTTATTTGCTGTACTTCGATGGCAGATCTTGTTATCCGGGATTGTGGCTTCGTTGGAGTAGGTCGTCATCATCCTGCCCGCGTGTGCACTTGCACTTCCTGCGTCACAGGCCGTCAGGCCTTCCAACATCTTGCGCGAAACTCCAAAACTCTAGGCTGAGATTACCCCAAATGCCTGAAAGCCTTAACACCACCTTGGTCAAATTGTCGAATGTCAATAGAATTGAGGCATTGTCAGAGAACATCGGAGAACTCAGCAAATGTCAATCCAAGGTCGCGGCACAGTGCGTGGACCCAACCTCTTTGGAGTCGTTGGCACAGTGGCCGGGGCAAAGGCCGGTGTAGATCTTTCTGAATATAAAGAGTACCGGGTTTGGCATTGAAGGCTCCAGTTGGAAGGGTGTTTTCTAGTTTTGTTAAGCCAGACATCATTGGGCCGGAGGACGACGAGAGGTTTGACTAAGCCCTCAAAAGCCCTGAGCCATGAAGCCAAGACCGCCACAGGCCGACTCCAGCCACCTAAATGGTGGTGATGATGATGATGATGATGATTAACTATGATTGTGATGATGATGATGATGATGATGATGATGATGGGAGTGTATGATGATGATGATGATGATGATGATTAACTATGATTATGACAATGATGATGATGGCAGTGTTTGCCGTATGATGACGATGATGATGATGATGATTAACTATGATTATGACAATGATGATGATGGGAGTGTTTGCCGTATGATGGTGATGATGATGATGATGATGGGAGTGTTTGCCGTATGGTGATGATGATGAGATGACGATGATGATGATGATGGTGTTGATGGTGATGATGGTGATGGTGATGCTGCTGATGATGCTGCTGCTGCTGATGATGGTGATGGTGATGGTGATGGTGATGGTGATGGTGATGGTGGTGGTGGTGGTTGTGGCGGTGGTGGTGGTGGTGATGAGGCTGATGATGATGATGAGGAGGAGGAGCATGGTCATGATGACGATGATGATGATGATGATTGTGATGGTCATGATGGTGATGATGGTTGTGATGAGGTTGATGACGAGGATGGTGAGGATGATGACGACTATGATGGTGATGATGGCGGTGAAGTTGTTGATGATGATGGTGATGCTGATTGTGATGATGATGATGACGAGGATGATGTACATGATGCTGATGGTGACGGTCATGAGCAAGGTCTTGACTATGACCATCATCATCATTGCGTTGAAACATTGCTCGGTCATGTTCAGTTCGATTATGACGGTTACAACGACAGGATATGCATGTTATGATTACGTAGGATTATGACGGCTCTGGTGCTGTTGACACGCCAGGTGAAGGAATGGGGAGGCAGCTATTTGCGTTTGCAGGACACGAGCATCCAGGTGATTCCATAATTAGATGAACCTCGGGCGCTTTATTGTCATAATTTGGTGCGAGACTCTTGCTGAAGGTAAGCCTCAGCTTAAGGTCATCACGAACAGGACCCGGATGCCAGAACGAAGACGTAACCCTGAAATCCTGAACCCAATGGTGCTGGCGCCGGCTTGTTCTCCTACATCACACCTACTATGACGAGTACAATGCTGGCCCGTTCCTGTTGTTGTCGCTGTTGTTGTCTCTTTCTTTTGCCAGGTTCTCTCTCTCTGTCTAGTTTTGAATGTACAGTGCCTGCCTTTGTTTTGTCAAGTCAACACAGTACCGCAGATCAAGTGTTGAAATCCTTACGGGTCAGCATCCTGACGGGGAGGGAGTCTGGGCTTGTTGGGTCTAACGAGAGTGTATTTCGCGGATGTTCTCGGTATATGTGGGTTTCTGATTTTGGGTGTCGCGGTTTAGGTCTTAGGAATGAATGTGGTGCTGTGTTCAGTGGGCTCTGCCCGTCAAACATGTCTCGGCGGGCTGATCAATGCTCGCGCATTCTTTCGCGGAATACCCGGGCCGGAGTCGGGGGGTGGAGGCTGCAGAGATAAGCGATTTCGAGGTCTGGGTTGTTGCACCGTGCTGTCCCTGTAGAGGGCTCTTCAGAAAAGGTGAACAGCAGCAGTAAAGAAGTACAGTAGTGATGCAGTAATAGTACAGTAGCAGTAATACGGTAGTATCACAGTAGTAGTACAGTAGCAGTACCGTCGTAGTACAACAGTAGTAGAGTAGGAGGGTTCAGCGGCCCCAAAATCTCGAAACCAAATCCCGATCACTCCAAGACAGCTATCACGACTAAAACGCTTCATTTTAAAGACTCTTGCATGATCCACCAGCGTGAGGCCTGCTACCGTGAGTTTTCTCCGGCCTCTTGCTGTCCTCTTCTCCGCCAAGACTGAAAAAAGAAAAGGCGTTACTCACTTCGCCGAAACGGCAACCAGTAATGAGCACCGGAAAAACCGATGAGAGAGGGTGACTTAAGTAAACGCACCGATGCTTGGGAGCTTTTCCTCGAACGGGC